TAGGGAGTCATGCATACCAGGCGGTGTGACCTTTTAGGAGTCATGCATACCGGGTTGAGTGACCTTTAGGGGGTCATGCATACCAGGTGGTGTGACCTTTAGGGTGTCATGCATACCAGGTGGTGTGACCTTTAGTGAGTCATGCATACCAGGTGATGTGACCTTTAGTGGGTCATGCATACCAGGTGGTGTGACCTTTAGTGGGTCATGCATACCAGGTGGTGTGACCTTTAGGGAGTCATGCATACCAGGCGGTGTGACCTTTAAGGGGTCATGCATACCAGGTTGTGTGACCTTTTGGGGTCATGCATACCAGGTTGTGTGACCTTTAGGGTGTCATGCATACCAGGTGGTGTGACTTTTAGGGGCCCATGCATGCCAGGTGGTGTGACTTTTAGGGGCCCATGCATGCCAGGTGGTGTGACCTTTAAGGGATCATGCATACCAGGTTGTGTGACCTTTTGGGGTCATGCATACCAGGTTGAGTGACCTTTAGGGGGTCATGCATACCAGGTGGTGTGACCTTTAGGGTATCATGCATACCAGGTGGTGTGACCTTTAGTGAGTAATGCATACCAGGTGATGTGACCTTTAGGGGGTCATGCATACCAGGTGGTGTGACCTTTAGGGGTCATGCATACCAGGTGGTGTGACCTTTAGGAAGTCCTGCATACCAGGTTGTGTGACCTTTAGGGAGTCATGCATACCAGGTTGTGTGACCTTTAGGGGGTCATGCATACCAGGTGGTGTGACCTTAAAGGGGTCATGCATACCATGTGGTGTGACCTTTAGGGAGTCATGCATACCAGGTGGTGTGACCTTTAGTGGGTCATGCATACCAGGTGGTGTGACCTTTAGTGGGTCATGCATACCAGGTGGTGTGACCTTTAGGGAGTCATGCATACCAGGTGGTGTGACTTTTAGGGGCCCATGCATACCAGGTGGTGTGACCTTTTAGGAGTCATGCATACCGGGTTGTGTGACCTTTAGGGAATCATGCATACCAGGTCATGTGACCTTTAGGGGGTCATGCATACCAGGTCATGTGACCTTTAGGGGTCATGCATACCAGGTGGTGTGACCTTAAGGGGGTCATGCATACCAGGTGGAGTGACCTTCAGGGGGCCGTGCATACAACGTGGTGTGACCTTTCAGGAGGTTGTGCATACAAGGTGGTGTGACCTTTAGGGGGGTTGTGCATACCAGGTGGTGTGACCTTTAGGGAGTCATGCATACCAGGTGGTGTGACCTTTAGTGGGTCATGCATATCAGGTGGTGTGACCTTTAGTGGGTCATGCATACCAGGTGGTGTGACCTTTAGTGGGTCATGCATACCAGGTGGTGTGACCTTTTGGGAGTCATGCATACCAGGTGGTGTGACTTTTAGGGGCCCATGCATGCCCGGTGGTGTGACCTTTAGGGAGTCCTGCATACAAGGTGGTGTGACCTTTAGGGGGTTGTGCATACCAGGTGGTGTGACTTTTAGGGGCCCATGCATGCCCGGTGGTGTGACCTTTAGGGAGTCCTGCATACAAGGTGGTGTGACCTTTAGGGGGTTGTGCATACCAGGTGGTGTGACCTTTAGGGAGTCATGCATACCAGGTGGTGTGACCTTTAGTGGGTCATGCATACCAGGTGGTGTGACCTTTAGTGGGTCATGCATACCAGGTGGTGTGACCTTTAGTGGGTCATGCATACCAGGTGGTGTGACCTTTTGGGAGTCATGCATACCAGGTGGTGTGACCTTTTAGGAGTCATGCATACCGGGTTGTGTGACCTTTAGGGGGTCATGCATACCAGGTGAAGTGACCTTTAGGGAGTCATGCATACCAGGTGGTGTGACCTTTAGTGAGTAATGCATACCAGGTGATGTGACCTTTAGGGGGTCATGCATACCAGGTGGTGTGACCTTTAAGGGGTCATGCATACCAGGTTGTGTGACCTTTTGGGGTCATGCATACCAGGTTGTGTGACCTTTAGGGTGTCATGCATACCAGGTGGTGTGACTTTTAGGGGCCCATGCATGCCCGGTGGTGTGACCTTTAGGGAGTCCTGCATACAAGGTGGTGTGACCTTTTAGGAGTCATGCATACCGGGTTGTGTGACCTTTAGGGGGTCATGCATACCAGGTGGAGTGACCTTTAGGGGGCCGTGCATACAAGGTGGTGTGACCTTTCAGGAGGTTGTGCATACAAGGTGGTGTGACCTTTAGGGGGTTGTGCATACCAGGTGGTGTGACCTTTAGGGAGTCATGCATACCAGGTGGTGTGACCTTTAGTGGGTCATGCATACCAGGTGGTGTGACCTTTAGTGGGTCATGCATACCAGGTGGTGTGACCTTTAGTGGGTCATGCATACCAGGTGGTGTGACCTTTAGTGGGTCATGCATACCAGGTGGTGTGACCTTTAGGGAGTCATGCATACCAGGTGGTGTGACCTTTTAGGAGTCATGCATACCGGGTTGTGTGACCTTTAGGGGGTCATGCATACCAGGTGAAGTGACCTTTAGGGAGTCATGCATACCAGGTGGTGTGACCTTTAGTGAGTAATGCATACCAGGTGATGTGACTTTTAGGGGGTCATGCATACCAGGTGGTGTGACCTTTAAGGTGTCATGCATACCAGGTTGTGTGACCTTTAGGGGTCATGCATACCATGTTGTGTGACCTTTAGGGTGTCATGAATACCAGGTGGTGTGACTTTTAGGGGCCCATGCATGCCCGGTGGTGTGACCTTTAGGGAGTCCTGCATACCAGGTTGTGTGACCTTTAGGGGGTCATGCATACCAGGTGGTGTGACCTTTAGGGAGACATGCATACCAGGTTGTGTGACCTTTAGGGGGTCATGCATACCAGGTGGTGTGACCTTTAGGGAGTTATGCGTACCAGGTGGTGTGACCTTTAGGGAGTCATGCATACCAGGTTGTGTGACCTTTAGGGAGTCATGCATACCAGGTGCTGTGACCTTTAGGGAATCATGCATACCAGGTCGTGTGACCTTTAGGGGTCATGCATACCAGGTGGTGTGACCTTAAGGGGGTCATGCATACCAGGTGGTGTGACCTTAAGGGGGTCATGCATACCAGGTGGTGTGACCTTTAGGGGGTCATGCATACCAGGTGGTGTGAACTTTAGGGGGTCATGCATACCAGGTGGTGTGAACTTTAGGGGTTCATGCATACCAGGTGGTGTGACCTTTAGGGAGTCATGCATACCAGGTGGTGTGACCTTTAGGGAGTCATGCATAGCGGGTTGTGTGACCTTTAGGGGGTCATGCATACCAGGTGGAGTGACCTTTAGGGGGTTATGCATACAAGGTGGTGTGACCTTTCAGGAGGTTGTGCATACAAGGTGGTGTGACCTTTAGGGGGTTGTGCATACCAGGTGGCGTGACCTTAAGGGGGTCATGCATACCATGGTGTGTGACCTTTAGGGAGTCATGCATACCAGGTGGTGTGACCTTTAGGGGGTCATGCATACCAGGTGGTGTGACATTAGGGGGGTCATGTATACCAGTGGTGTGAACTTTAAGGGGCATGCATACCCAGTTGAGTGACCTTTAGGGGCCGTGCATACCAGTGGTGTGACCTTTAGGGAGTCATGCATACCAGGTGGTGTGACCTTTAGGGAGACATGCATACCAGG